GGGTGCACCTTGACGGGCTGGATCAGTTCGTAAGACTGGCACCAGGGCCACAAACAAGTGAAGAACGATCAACCACACGCGAGCAGTCCGTCACCACACCGTGTCGCGGCTGGCGTATCGAGCCTTTTTCTGGGGGAAGGGCTGTTGAATCAAGAGTCGCCGCCCCCCCTGGGACATAGGTCGATGAAGGGCCGTCCGTGGGCTCTCCCGCGGTCTCTTCGTTCCCCATCCACCCGCCCCCTCCCCCCCACCCCCCACCCACCCACCCACCCACACGCACACACACACACACCTTTTGTGGCGTCGCGGCCCTCCGCGCGGCGACAGGGCGGAGAAGGTCGCAAAGCAGCGAACGCGCGCGCGACTAGGAACGCCCGAGCTCTCAGAGACCGCTTAGAGTCCCGCAGCGGCCGGCCGCCATAAGCCACCCCAGCGTGGATAGCAGGGGGAGCGGTGGAAGGACGAGACTACGGTGCGGTGGAATGTGAAATAAGCGCACACACATACAAACGCACACACACACACACACACACACACACACACACACACACACACACACGCACACACACACGCAAACACACGCACATACGCATTATTTTGCTCCGCCTCGCAAATGCGCGCAGCGTACCTGAACATAACATCTTAGAAGCTCTCGAAACTGCGGCGACCAGGCATAATCCCAGACTTGCGTAGCAGGGACAGCAAGGAACAGCTGCGCTGAGCAAGATCTCTGAGGCCAGGGGGCAGCATGAACAACTAGCAACAGCTGGAAGCAGCCGAAGCAAGCAAACTCCCAGCAGCCAGGCGAGGCAGGAACAGACAGCAACAGCCGAACCGAGCAAACAGACCTCTCCCCGCGATGTGACTGCTTACAGCCACCGTGCGACCATAAGCAACGCCGAATAAGGATAGAAGGGGCTCTTCTGGCCACGGCGAGCCTCGGCCACGAACGGGTGCTCTGACCCCTGAGGAATGATCTGAGCGTCTTGGCTGCACATATGCCAGACATCCGCCGATATGATTGTTTCAATCTGCGGCCCCAAAGGTCTGAATCCCTTCCCAGGGTGTAGCTTTGCGCCCGATATCTATATATGTATATATGTATATATATGGTCACGGTACCCGAACACGGCTCCGAGGGCCAAAATCTAAAACAACAAAAAAACGGAATTGAATAACATCATTCGGACATCTAGGTGTCTGTCCGACCTCCACTGGGGCCTTCCAGTACCAGCAGCGATATCGGGGCTCGGATGTCGGGGCTCGGGCGTTAATCAATGGGGGTGCGAGAAAGGGGGCGGGGGCGGCGAGAACGTACACCTTTCGTGCCCCTTTGGGGCCCAAGAGGGCACGTACCTTCAGGGCTCTTGTGAAACAAAAAAAGGTGCACCCCCCTCTGCACCCCTCGGGCCCTTTAATGGGCCTTAAATTTGCACCTATTACAAGGTGCTCCTTTAGGGCCCTTTTAAGGCACAAAGCGGCCCACTTTATCTTAGCATGGGGAAATCGGAAAGCGGGTCCTGAGGGAAACGGGTCCTGGACCCTGGTGCCTGCGAACTTTTCATCCTGAGTCCTTTTCTGGCACTTCCGGGGCCCGTGGAGGACCGAGGGAAGCCAAAAGCGGCGACACGCCTCAGGACCCTTTTCCTTCAGGACCCGCTTCCCCCACGGCGATGATCGCATCTCCATTACTCGACGCCCGAGGGGCCGCCTTGGGCACCGTCGCCAGCCGAGGCGGCAGCGGCGCTGGCGGAGGCCGCGAGGGCGCGCAGCTCCCGGACCAGCTGCTCAAAAGGGGGCCTCCTGCGGGCGCGCCCGCCTCCTCTCCTGCATCCACTAACATGAATTAGGATTTTTAACTAACTGCGAGCACCCACAAACTTCAGCCCTTGCTCCGATACAGCCCGGCCAAAAACATGGCTGAAGAATGAAACATCTGCTCGATTGTGTTGAATCCGCTTCCCCTCATGGGGGCTATACCAGATCCCATTGAAGCGCATACGGACACGGGTTCGTACCGGTCTGAGGCTCAATCGCAAGAGGCGTGAAAAACGGCCTGCGACATTACAAGGGTGACCTCGGAGGGAAGCCCGGCGGCCGCTGTGGATTACCCTACAGCTTCCACGCCGATCCTGGGGAAGAGGGACGAAGAGAGAGGAGGAAAAGGAGGAGAGGGCGAACGAGGAAGGCGGAGATACGTAACATAAAAAAACCTGCAGAGAGCCTCAATGCCGAAGCAGAGGAGCCGAAACCATGGGCGGCCAGCGTACAATGCAGCAGGTTAAAGCATGACGCACATTGCGATAGTTGTTGTTCAGGTAAAGGCTACTGGTGTCGAGCACGAGCGCAAGCTCATGCCCACCGCCTCGATACACACAACCTGCAGGCCTAGGGCCGACAGAGGATGCAGGGTCAAGAGGGGCCCAGCGACCGGCGAACTCCGACGCCGAAGCTCGGCGGAAGGCGGGCGCCGCCACCCTGCAGCTGCCAGCCTGCGTGTGGGGCGGGCCCGCGCAGCGGGATGACGATCCCGACCGCGCACTAAACAAAAAGAGACATGCACATGCATCGGAGCAGCCATGCAACTCGCAGACACAGAGCCGGAGGGAGGAGGAAGGAGGAGGAAGAGGCAAGCGCGGGAGGAAACAGAGGACAGAAGAGTTCGAATCACCCATTCTTGCGGCAAGGCGCTGAACCGCAGAGGATCGCACGCCAACCGTTCTGGGCAGTGCAGCTGCGAATCAAGAGGGGAACTAGCGCCAGCTCTACCGTGGTACCGAAGAGAATCCAGCTGGCCCGGACCCTCCATGTGGAAGATCATCCTCATCATCATCGTCATTATCACCATCATCATCATCATCATCATCCTCATCCTCATCATCATCATCATCATCATCATCATCATCATCATCATCATCATCATCCACCTCCTCCTCCTCCTCCTCATCATCATCATCGTCATCGTCATCATAATAATCATCATCATCATCATCACCATCACCATGACCATGACAAACACCATCACCATAAGCGTCATCATCATCACCACCACCACAATCATCATCACCGTCATACCCATAATCATCATCACCGTCATACCCATAAGCATCATCATCACAATCATCATTATCATCATCGTCATCCTCATCACAATTACCACTATCATGATCATCATCACAATGATTTTCACTATCACCATCACCATCACCATCACCATCGTCACCATCAGCATCACCATGATCATTATCATCACCATCACCATCACCACCATCATAATCGGCATCCTCGTCATAATCATCATCAGCATCATCATCACCGTCGTCATCACCATCTCCACCACAATATGCAGCATCAGCATCACCTCTATCACAGTCATCACCTTCATCATCATAAGCATCCTCACCGCCATCATCATCACCACAACCACGATCTCCATCATCATCATCATCATTAGCATCATCATCATCATGGCCATCACCATCACCATCACCATCATCATCACCATCCACATCCTCATCATCACCACCACCACCGCAGCCATCATCATCATCGTCATCATCATCATTTCGCACCGGCAGCAACAGGAAACGCTCCATATTCCAAAACGAACGGGCGGCGGAAAGAATGATGAAAAACACGAACTGGCTTTTCCAGAAAAACGGCGGCGGGACAGAAAAGCTCAGATCAATCAGTTCGAACTCCCAATACAAAACAAACTGACGGCGAATCTTTTTGAACCAGTCTCGATGCATTCTGACGGGCTGCGCTTTTGGAATCAAGCGCCTCGCGTGCGCTCCCGGGCGCCCCCGCCCAGCGCTCGCACGCGCTCCCAAGCGCGGGCGTAGGCGCGGGCGCTCCCGCGCGTCTCCTGGCGTTCCCAGGTGTTCGCAGGCGCTCCCAGGCGCTTCCCTCCCGGCACTCGCAAGCGCTCGCAAGCGCGCGCAGGCGCTCTCAGGCGCCCCCCGAGGCACCCGCAAGCGCCCGCGAGCGCACGCGGGCAGTCCCAGGCGTCAGAGCTGGCAAGCTCACGCAAAAAAGCAGCGCGGGGAACAGCCAACACAATGGCGGCGGCGAGCTCGCCAGCCAAAATCAGCTCAAAATGCCGGCGGCGGGGAAGGGGGTATCCCATTCACTCTTGCAGCGAGCACCGAAAAAACCGGGGTGACATCATCACCACCAGCACGATCATCATCATCATCATCATCATCATCCTCATCAGCAGCATCAGCAGCATCAGCATCATCACCATTATTCTCATAATCGTCGTCATCATCATCACCATCATCATTTTCATTACCATGGTCGTCATCATCATCGTATCTATCATCATCACTACCACTATCGTCATCATCATCATCCTCATCATCATCACCACCATCATGATCCTCATTACAAACACATTCACCGTCATCATCATCATTATCATCATCGTCGTCGTCACCATCATCACCATCACCACCACCATCATCATCATCATCATAACCAGCATCACCATCAGCACCATCATGATAATCATCCTCGTCATCACCAGCATCGTAATAATCACAATCATCATCACCATCATCCTCACCATCATCGTCGTCGTCATCATCATCACCAACACCATTACTTCAATCACAATTATAGTCATTATCAGCATCGTCATCATCACCGTCAGCATCGCCATCATAATCATCACCAACACCATTAACTCAACAATGACTATCATCATCCTCATTCCCATCACCAGCATCACCGTCATCATCACCATCATCATCAGCACCACCACCATCATCATCAACAGGATCATCACCATGACCATCACCATCGCCATGATCACCACCATCACCATTCTGATCACCTTCATCATCACCATCACCATCGCTACCATCACCAATATCACCACCACTATCATCACCATTACCCTCATAATCATTACCATCGTCATCAGCATTATCATTATCACCGTAGCCATCATCACCACCATCATCAGCATCGTCATCATCATCCTCATCCTGCAGCGAAGCTAAGGGGGGCGCACACAGTCTATGACTCCACCGACAGCTCTAAAGCTAATGGAGCTCGGTGGATTTCCCACTTCACGAGCTGCACGATCCCACGGTCGGGGATCGCTGTGATCTCCCCCGTGAACTCCTTAGATTCGCCTCTGAGGGCGTCGTTGAGGAAACGCCCAGCGATCACAGGAAGGAAGGCGCGAGGGGAAGGGGCGAGGAGACCCCAAGCCTCAAGAGGGCAAAGAGGGAGGGGCGTTCTATGATCGCTGAAACGAGACGTCGGCAGTGCGGGCAGAGCCAGTAGTGGAGAAACGTGTTGGTGCATGGTCGACCCCCCAGAGAAGTACCAGCGGCACATCCGAGACGGCACAGACCAGGCACAGGGTCGTGAAACATGAGGCTCGTCACCCAGCACCCCGTTGAAGTCTTCAGACGCGCATTAGCATGGGCAGGGGAGCACCGCGTGAGGGCACTCCGAACCAGGTCCCACGAGATTGGCTCGATGTCCTCGATCGAGCGTGGAATGTACCTTCGCAGCCTACGGCTGAAAAGGCTAGCGATATCATCAGGGCACACGCTCTCGACTAGGGCGCTGTGGAGTATCCTTTGCGGTTGGAGGCACTTCACAGCACGGCTCTCCTGGCCTCGAGCAAGGGTTGGGCGCCCTGGGTACTAGAGCATTCGATCCCGCGATCGGCGCAAGCCGCCAGGAGACGATCTCGGGCTCCCGAGGCGGCTCTCGCGAGGCGCGTCCCTGGGCACCCCAAGGCAGCAAAATAAATATTCTCAGCAGTGGATGGCGATCGCCACCACCTCGGGGAAAGCCGGCCTTCGCCGACCTCCTGCAGAGTGAGCTCGGCCCCCGCTGCTTGGAGTCGGTCCAGTGCTTCAGGCCGCGAACGGAAGGTGATGGGGGAGGCGCGCATGAGGGCGGCAGCATAGGAGGAGCGAGATGGGGGGAATCCTCGGACTGCCTCACTGCCTCAGCGCGCACCAGCCGCGGTCTCGGATGGACCGATGGGGCTGATTAGATAGGCTGGCCAGTATGGCAGGTTCACGCTCTGCCATCCACAAGTCCAGCGGCACGAACTGGGCGACGCACGAGAACAGGCGCCGCTCTCTGAGAAAACACGCGGGCAGCGATGGAGGAGGGGGGATCCGGCGAAGAGAGAGAGAGAGAGAGAGAGAGAAAAAAAAAAAAGAGATGGACCGATCTCCCCACTTGCATCTCGAAGCGTGCCAAGACTCATTCGTGATATCTGGGCCGAGCCACAAACCTAGGCATTTTGCGTGGGCGGCTATCTGGAAGGAACTCCAGTCGGGGGTCTGAAGGTCGAGCCATTCTTGGACCCGGGTTTTAACGTCCTCCGAAACATCGGCGAGACAGGGGAACAATACAACATCTGACTGGTTTGAGCTCCAGGCGCGCAGGACGCGCAGCATTCATAAAGACTAGAAATGCTCTACGCAGTGACGCTATCGCCCTCAGAACTATACCCATATCGTCCGCGCACAGCCTAGTCATGCCCTTCGTCCGAGAATCAATCAGATCGATAAACAGCTGCATGAAGGGTCAGGGCGAAGAGGGCCCCACTCCCAGGGCACCCTTGAATGATTCCCGAGAGGACCTGGAAGAGGAAGGTGTAGGAGTCTCCGGTCAAGCTGGAACATCTAACTCCGTGTAGATCAGATGGAGGGAGGCGAGGAGGGGAGGTGGGAGATGTACCGACCGAAGAACCGCAAAGAGCCAGTTGAGGCCACGCTGGGGAAGGCCTGGGCGAAATCGTTGGTTACCTGGACGGGAAATTCGGACTGCACATCTGGAGCCAACGGCGCGCATCGTCCTTTAGCAGCAAGCTCGATAATGTTGTCCCCGAAGTTTCGCCCTCGGACGAAGCCCTGTTGAGGGGCCGCTAGACCTGCTGGGAAGGATTGAGCCAGGGCGCTTGTGCAAACCCCGACTAGCACCTTGTTGTCGGCGCTCTTTAGTCCTAGCGGGCGGGTATTGGTGGCGCCCCTCGCCTCCTCACACGTCGGCGCAAACGCGCCCAGTAAATCATTGAATCCCCAGAAGATCGGGCCGCCACCAAGAATCCACCACAGCGTGCTATCTCAGATGGCTGCTGCTCCAGGTGCCCGCTGCCAGGCCTGGTACGGGAGGCCGCCAGGGCCCGCCGCACTGTGCGGGAGGGACATCAGGTGCCGCTCCAGCTTGTCGAAGGTGGGCGGCGGGAGCTGAGAGCAGTTCATCTTCGGCCCGAAGCGCTCGAAGAAAAGCTTGATCGCCATCTCGTCGCCCTCCTTCGGGCCGAAGACAGGGGCCTACTGCTTGGCGAGCGACATCATCACGGTCTTCGGCTCAGTCGCGATCTCGTCTCCATCGAGGACAACCTGGAGGAAGACTCTAGCACCAAAGGCGGTCCACAGCCTGCCGAGCCTCCTCAAGTCGGGCCCTTGCACTCCGCAGACGGCGTCGAATGGCAGTCGGGAGCCCGCCAAGAGCAGCACCATCGTCAGGAGCGCCGCCCACAGCCGCTTCAGCTTCAGCAGCGTCAGTTTCAGCTTCACGAAGGCGGCTGCCGTTCACCTCGCGGCGTATGGCGCTGAACGGCTGCAGGAAGAGGTCACACTCCGCCAGGTGCACCGTCTTGGAACCGTGGTCCAGGTCCAAAGCCTTTGTCGCCAGCGGGTGCGAAGGGTATCGATTGCAAGCGCCAGTGTAGTCCCGCCTCATGACGACGCGGGAGATGCTCCTCACGACCATGAAGCGTGCCGTCAGAGATGAAGGTTCGTACAAAATCACCGCGTTCCGTACACGTCGGGTAATTAGCCTCCCACATCACCATCTTGAAATGCTCGTGCAGGATGGGTGGCGACAGGTGGCTGTAGTCACCAACCTTCATCGCCGAGTCGACGACGGCAGCATACCGAGGATGTTTGAATATCCCTGGGTGAATCGTCCATGTCCGCGGCGCAAGGCCGCGCCTGGGTTTCAATGCGAAAACGACCGCAGCATGGTCGGACAGGCCTTGAGCATGTAAAGCTGCAGGGCCCCCTCGAACGGCCCCTCCTTCAGACCACCCAGGAGCTGACGAGAAGAGACGATCCACGCAGTTGAGTTTGCCCGTTCCAGGGTGGTAGTGCGAGGGGTCATTGACGATATATTCAAGGAGGCCCGGGAAGATATTCTCCCACGCTCTGTCAACAGGAAACGACTTGGGGTTCCTGCGGGGGGCTCCCGAGTTCCTCCGAGGTCCTGGGGAGGGCGGAGCCGCAGGAGGAGGAGGAGGAGGAGGAGGAGGAGGAGGAGGAGTAGCCATCTGGGTTCCCATAGAGGCACCCTGGGTAGCAGTACTGGCACCAGTGGACTGGGAGGGGGCCGTACTCAGGGTCCTCCTCATCCTCATCGTCATCACCACCACCATGATCATCATCACAACCATCTTCACCATCACCATCATCATCATCGTCATCATCAACATCATCATCAGCGCCACCACCACCACCACAATCATCATCATTACCATCATGATCACCACCACCATCAGAATCATCATCACCACCACCATCATAATAATCATCATCATCAGCATCATCAGCACCATCATCATCATCATCATCATCATCATCATCATCATCATCATCATCATCATCATCATCATCATCATCATCACCTGGGGGCAGACCTGGGGCAAGCCCTGGAAGTCCCGTTCGCTTCCCCGAGGGTAGTTTGTCGCCCTGGATCCGTTTTTGGTGGTCCTGGGTCCCCGCAATTTCTGACCGCCTCCAGGCAACCCACCCGCCCTGCCAGTGGCGGAGAGGCGAGTGGAGGCATGGAGGCAGAGCGCAATTTTTCCTCAACGTTGGCCTCACCATCGCTCTGACGTCCATCAACCGTGCATTTGTTGATGTCGTGCGTCAACCTTGTCACAAGATGATCCAAGGTGCTCCTCGATGGTCCTCGCCGCGAAAGAAAAAGAACACACGTCCGAGCGATGCCAAGTCGCATGGGAAGTCGGCCTGAGGGCCGATCTCGAGGAAGAGCCGGCCGGCCGACAGAGCCACGCAACCGGACCCACCCGCCCGCCCTCCCGCCGGCCGGGGTCCTCTCGGGAGCGCCGTCGATGCACGACAGCGCCATCGAGGCGAAGTGCTCGGCCGCCGGCCGCGGCCACGCCGCCCGCCTGTCCAGGGACTCCAGCACGCGGCCTGGAACAGGCTGGCGGGTCGGGGTGAGCGTGCCATGGCGCGGCCCTTGGCACTCCAGAGTGGAGGAGTGGTGGGCCCATATCTTTGGCGGCAACTTCTGGAGGGTCTTCGTGAGAACGATTGGGGGCCAGTAGGCCCGATGAAGGGGCCATGAGTGCGGATTAACCAAAGCAGTCCGAGGATTAAGCCATATGAGACCAGAGTTTGGCGGAATAAGTCCGGCTTCGTGCGACCAAGGAGATACGAGCGCTGATGGAGCTGCATCCTGACATGCCTCCTCGCGTCGTGAAGAAGCACTACGGGAAGCTCGTGGCTGTTTGTGGCCTCTGAAGGCCCCTACATGCCCTTACGAGGCCCGGGACCCGTCGAGGAACAACTCGGGATGAAAGGTGGATCCCCCAGCAAGGGATCGAGACCTCGGAGGAGGAGGAGGAGGCGGGGGTCCACGTTGCGAACAGATCACGGCGTCGTAGGTCTGGGCAGGCAGGCTCTTGGACATGTGGCCTTTTTCGAGGCGCCTTTGGCACTTCGTGGGCCTCTGGGCACGTGCGGCGGTCAGGATCAGGAGCGAAAGCTAAGCTTGCCAGTCGGGGGGGCGCCAGATTAGAGATCCATCCTCCACCTCCTCCTCCTCATCATCGTCATCACCACCACCATCATCATCATCATCATCATCATCATCATCATCATCATCATCATCATCACCACCACCATCAAAATTATTATTACCATCATCAGTAATTATCGTTATCATCACCATCACCAACATTATAATAATCATCACCGTTATCATCATCACAATCATCATGACCATAGTCGTCGTCGCCGTCAGCATTACCATCATCATCATCATCATCATCATCATCATCATCATCATCATCATCATCATCATCATCATCATGATGATCATCATCATCATCATCATCATCATCATCATCAGCATCATCATCATCATCATCATCATCATCATCATCATCATCATCATCATCATCATCATCATCATCATCCCATCATCATCCCCATCATCCCCATCCCCCTACTCCCCTGTTCCCTCCTCCCTCGTCCCTCCTCCTCACCTCACATCCCTCAATGCCCCCTCCCTTCTCCCTCTCCTCCCTCCTCCCTCCCCCGTCCTTCCTCTCCTCCCTCCCTCCTTCCCTCCCTCCCCATGGTCCGCCATGCCTCCCTCTTGACGGAGGCACGGGGAGACCTGGACCCCCAACGCTGTGATCACGTCTCGCTGTGGACCCCCCGCAAGCCAAGCCCCTTCCGCCAGGCCAGTGCCTCATCCCGGGCTGTATTTTCCAACAATCCTGTGGTGTTGGGTCCTCGTTCCGAATCAGCAGCGCCCCGCATTCCTCACTCCTACTCCTCCTCCTGCCCCTCCTTCCTCCTCGCATCCGTGCCTCTGCCCTTCGCGTGTCCTCATTTCCTCCTCAACCACCATCATCATCAGCATCATCATCATCATCAGCATCATCATCATCACCATCATCATCGTCGTCATCATCGTCATCGTCATCGTCGTCGTCGCCGCCGCCGCCGCCTACGCCGTCTCGTCGTGTCGTCGTTGTCGTCATCGTCGTCGTCATCATCATAACCACCACCACCACCACCACCACAACCACCATCATCATCATCATCATCATCATCATCATCAGCATCATCATCATCATCATCATCATCATCATCATCATCATCATCATCATAACCGTCATCATCATCAATATCAGCATCCTCATCATCAGTATCACCACCGTGACCGTCACCATTACCGTGATTATCATCATCATCACCACTACCACCATCATCATCATCATCATCACAACCGTCACCGTCACCGTCGCCATCATCATGATCACCATCACCACCGCCTCCATCATCATCATCATCATCATCATCATCATCATCATCATCATCATCATCATCATCACAATCATCAGCATCATCATCATCATCACCATCACCACCACCAACAGCAACATTATCACAACCATCATGCTGATCATCATCATCATCATCATCATCATAATAATCAGTATCAGCATCATCATCACCATCACCATCATCATCATCATCATCATCATCATCATCGGCATCGTTATCGGCATCATCGCCATCACCATCATCATCTCGTCAGCATCATCATCAGCAGCAGCATCATCCTTCCCATTATCATTATCATCACCACCACCATCAACTTCATTACCGCCACCAACATCACCAACAACATAACCATCGGCCCTCTTCGTGCCCCCATAGGGAGCTCTACCGAAAGCCCCAATGGCAATGCCCACATGTGTCTCCCCCACCCATTACGACACACCCCTCACACATTTCGTGGCCCCAGAAAAGGCTCCACCGAAGGCTCCAGCGGCAATGTCCACGTGTGTCCGCATGCGTCTCCTCCACCCATTACGGCGCACCCGTCACACGTTTCGTGGCCACCTGGGGAGCTCCACCGAAGGCCACAGCGGTAATGCTCACATGCGTCTTCCCCGCCCATTAAGGCACACCCCTCACGCGCTTCCCGGCCCCATGGCGAGCTCCACCGAAGAACCCAATGGCAGTGTCCACACACGTCTCCTCCACTCGTCACGGCGTACCCGTCACACGCCTCTTGGCCCCATAAGGAGCTCCACCGAACGCCCCAACAGCAATGCTCACACGCGTTCCCCAGCCCATTACGGCACACCCGTCACACGTTTCGTGGCCCCACAGGGAGCTCCACCGAAAGCCCCAGTGGCAGTGCTCACACGCCATCCCCAGTCCATTACGACACACCCCTCACACGCTCCGTGGCCCCATAGGGAACTCCACCGAAAGCCCAAGCGGCGGTGTCCACATGCGCTTCCCCCACCCTTTACGGCGCACCCGTCACACGCTTTGCGGCCCCATAAAGAGCCCCACCAAAGGCCCCACTGGCATTGCTCACATGCATCTCCCCCGCTCATGACGGCACACCCCTGACACGTTTCGTGGCCACATAGGGAATCCCACCGAAGACGATACAAACAATTGCGTCAGTCACAACTCCATGTGATTCGGTCCTTCGCCAAGTTCTGTTTTTGGACGGCCCCAGCCGCCGCCGCGTCGGCGCCGCTTGGGGAATCCGAGGACACCCTGAAGACGTTCCCAACACCTGCGTTCCCGATCGTCGCCACTCGAACCTTGGACCCCCCCTTAGTTGCCAGCCTGTGGCGTCGGGTGCTCCGGGCATCACTGCCTGCAGCAGCGGGTAGACGATGTCGCCCGAAGGGCCCTGCAGCGCGGGCGGCATGTTGAGGAGCAGTTCGAGGAGCACCTGGAATACGGGGCCGGTGGGGATGGGGGGCAGGAAGGCCACAAAAGAGGAGGAAGGGGGGATCAATTGATGGAAGTTGGGAAAACAGGAATGTAAGCATTGGCGAGATACGATGGTTTTCTCTCGTAGGCCGAGGAAGAAGATAACATGTTTTTCCAACACGGTTTCGGAAAGTATGGGCTACCTTCCAATCTGGGATATCACGGGCACGGTTGAATTCTGGGGAGCCGAACGGGCAGAAGCGACATGGAATAGGATACCGCCAGAGCCTGATGCTCCAATCGGAATCAGCCACTCCCTCAAGAAACCGCACCCGCCCATGGAGCAAACGCCGACACCGGAACTCAGCTACCTACAAGTGCTCTTTCCGATCCGCCGAGCGCGCCAACTGGAAAACTCTTTGAAAGGCACCGTGCGGAGAGAGAGCGCCCACTGGACCACGAAGTTCTAAAATGCCGTGGTCTGCTCAGCCTGCGAAGCGAAAAAGCAATATTCGGTACAACAATACCTCGCGTAGTATCGACTTAGTTGTCACTGCGAGACGCTAGCGTGAGCACAACAGCTCGGTGGACGTGGCTTCAATGCTGCAGCGAGCCGCTGCAACTCCAGAACCGTGCCCTAGATGCTGCTACACTTCGAGCCACATAGAAAAGTCGAGCGACAAGTTTCGGCATCGCCCAGAATCTTCAAGCATCAAGCCCTCAACCAGGTTCGAAAACTGCGAACTCGGGAGCTTCTTATTGAGCTTCTCCTCGGCGTGATTGACGGCGCTGCGGGCGTAGGAGAGCCTGCCCTCCATCACCTCCAAGATGAGATCTCTGTGAATACTGCCCTCCGCCATAAAGGGGTCTGCTTTTATATCGCGCGCGTCGCGCCGACCCGAAGATGCGCCACCGAGCTGTTCTCGGACGGCGGCTCGACCGGGCCCATGAGAAGCGAGGAGAACATGGACGTGCCATCGATGCCAATCTCCGCCGGGACTGCGCATCCCCTTTCCCCTCGAAGCCCGCGGGCCTCGCGGGGCAGGCTGGGCCGCACTTCATCTCCTGCGGCGTCAGCGGGGAGGCAGGCAATCCGTCGGCGGTCCAGCAAGCAGCCAGCAGTTCCGAGCCGAAGCTGAATCTGCAACCCAGTTAGCGAGGGCCCCGAGGCCGGGGACGCGACGCGTGGCTTGTTCTTCTGCGCGGCCCAGACCGCGCTGCCGAGCTGCGCCGCGCACCTGATGAGCAGGTTGCCCCTGGCCCCCCGCACGAAACGACGCGCGGGGCCACGCGGCGCCAGGCGTGCAGCGTGCGCGCAGCTACCTCCAAATGTTAACGAAACCACCCGCTTTCGCGTTCACCGCGTAGATGTGCTCGATGGCCACGAGCGCGTCGATTTACCCGCCCTGGCCCATCGCCGCAGAGCCGTCGGCGCTTCGCTGCTGGCGAACGCCGAGGTTCGCGAAAGACTCATAGCCCCCCTTCATATTGCCGAACACCCGAACACCTGCTCGATGCGCGCGATCGGGTGGTCGACGGTCGACGTGATCCTTCAGCCCAGCTATCCGAAGATCGTCGACGTGCTAAGTCAACATCAACGCCAACTCCATGCTGGAGGTCCCGGTGGCCACGCCACCCATCACCTCGCGCTTGACCTCCAACTCGGGGCCCCACGCCGCGGGCTTGGCGCTGCGCCCAATTGACTTCGCCATCCGGGTGAGCTTCCCAAGGCGCGTGCTTGCACCTGGTCCCGGGCTTGGCAAGCACCCCAAAATCTCCATGACCGTCTCGGAACGTCTCGGAATGTCCCGCCTCGCCCAAAGAGGTTGCACTGCATGCCGGCAGTATGAACTTCACCTGGCGAGGCGCCTCGCTGGCGGGCTTGCGCATCTCCTCGCGCGTCATTCCGCGCAGGGCAACTTTCTCGACGCCCACTGCCACGCGCGCTCAGTTGGGCATGCGCGCCGCCTTCAAAGAGAGCAGACGTTTTGACGCTCGCATGGCAGCGCCGGCGAAATTGCGCTGGGCTCCCACGGAAGCCTCTCTGGCGCTTCCACTCGCGCTGTGAATCCGTCGCGTTACGAGCGCCCTTGAGCTGGCGCTCACAGCACTTGTGCAAGACCCGCGAGGTCAACTCTTCCAGGATACTGGCGTTCGCCTCCCTGGATAGCCCAGACACCCCATCCTTCGCCAGTGGGTCGGCGTCGCGCTTGATAGCCGCGGTCTTGGCCGCGGCATAACTGATGAGGACTGCTGTCTGGGAGGTGCGGGTGGCCGCGCCACCAGTCGCCTCATTCCGAAAGGAGTCTGCGGCCGCGCCGACAAACTCTGCTGCGAGCCTGTCATGGCTGAGGAAAACCTGACTCACTGCTGGGTCCAGTTATAATAATGCCGCTGACCGTCGTCATCTTCCACGTCATTTTGCGCGCACTCGTCCGCGCCCACCTCCTCGCGATGGTTGTGTCAGGCCTCGTGGATGACCTGCCTCTGAAGGACGATCTCCAGGTGCTCTGGCCTCTCAGAAGGGCGGCGCCCCATGCCAGCGACAGCCTGCTTAATAGCTGCGCAGACTGGCTGCTGGGTCGCATCGAACTCATTATGCTGCACTTCTGTCTACAAGTCCTCCCAGACATGGACGTCGCGCCACGCCGCCAACATAACCTGCTCGACGTCAAAGGCTGGCGGGTCGCAATTGGCAAACTCCTCCGGAATCGCTGAGAGTTTGCAGGGCAGGCATCCTTCAGCGGGGGCGCCACTGGCGCCCTGGGGGCGCGCTGCCTCTGGGCCCGTGCTGGCGTCGCCCACCAAGAAGTCGTCGTCGCGCATGATGAATTGCACGATGCGCGCTGCTGCTGTAATTGAAAGGTGTGGAGCGCTCCCCTGGACGCCCTGGGGGCGCGCCAAGTGCACCTCGCAAGGGTCCGTGGGCGCCGCCATATGATCGAGCTGCGAGCTCCTCCTGCAAGCTGGCCCGGCTCCTGACCGCTGCTGGTCCCGCGCGAGGCGCACTGAACACGCGTTGGGCAAATGCAGGGCGGCATTGGCCAGATGCTGCAGGGCCTTGACGAGCGCTGGCCGCTAGCGGGCGCGCTCGAACGAGGGCGCGCCCGTGCCGTCCGCTCAGGAGCCGAGGGATCTAGCCCCCGAGCCCTGATGCATGTCCGCCAGGTACTGATGCAGATGCACCTTGTTCCAGGCGAGCCCTGCTCGAACGAGGCTGGCGCACACCGAGCCAAACGCGTCCTTTGCGGGAGCCGGCCGATGCGCCTCCACCACGACACCGACGTTGAAATGCCCTTCTCCTGACTGCGCAGTGTGGGTCCTGAGTGCACGGATGACTCGCGCTATGGGGGTGTCGCTTCGACCGTGCGCAACAGGGCGATATCTCGGATCCACCACTGCAATCTGATCGGCCAAATTTCACCGCCCTCCGAAGCACGGAAAGCGCATCACCACCATTTTCGATCTCTAGCGGGGGCAGCGTGGCGGGCTGCCTGTCGAAGACCGCAGTGCAGGGCGCGGCGCCGCCCGAGCGGGCGGAGCTGCTTCTGCGAAAATGGCGTTGGCCAGCAGAAAGTTGAGGTCGACTGAGATGCCCTCTCGCTCCATCTCTTCCTCAGCGGCGTGGAGGGCACGACGCAATGCTACACCTCGTCGCTCGATGGGCCTAGCGCGCTGCCGGGGCGCCCTGGTATCCACCTCCACGCCTCGTAATTTCATATCCTCCTGGAAACTATCGGACGTGAGTCCGCGGGCGCGGTCCACGGCGAACACCTCCGTGGCCCCAAATAGCTGGACACACATGCGGTCTGCACCTGCCAAAGGTTCTCACGCCGTTGTGCAACCGCGAGGCTCAGGCACGATGTCGCACCCGACGTGCTGGTCGCATTGTATTGCCTGTTCCCGTTGCTGCTGCTGCTGCTGCTGCTGCTGCTGCCTCCCATTGCGCTACGCTGCTAGCGGGCTGCCCGCTGGAGGCACTCCATGGATTCACGGGGATCCAAAACGATGCTCTTCCCCTTCTCAGTCCGTGGACGACACCCCTTCAACATCCAACTCCAGAGGTGCTACTGGACATCCGACGAGAAACCTCAATGGCATATCCTAGCCAAGCAGCGCATATCTCTCGAAGTGTGGGGGCCCCGCACCTTGCTCATCCAAGGTAGACGGCCTCCTCGCCACCTTGGAAAGAAATCATTAAGAGCCTGTGCCCCGCTTGGCTTTTGAATTGAGCATGACGGTGGACTGCTGTGGCCTGGGAAGGCGGGCCTGCTCTTGCGTGCCTTTGTGCTGATCCTGCACGCCTACGACAGGCAGCGGGCACACGCACACACACACACACACCCACACACACACACACATACACACACACACACACACACGCACGCACGCACGCACGCACGCACGCACGCACGCACGCACGCACGCACGCACGCACGCACGCACGCACGCACGCACGCACGCACGCACGCACACACACACGCACACACACACACACACACACACACACACACACACACACACACACACACACACACACACACACACACACACACACACACACACACTCACACACACACACACACACACATACACACACACACACACGCGCGCGCGCGCACGCACACACGCACACACACATGTTCTTTGCCTCTAAAACCAGGCGTGGGCCAGAAACTTCTGTCCATATTTCTCCCGGGGTGGACAGCGACGCAGACCACGAGGATCCGACGGAGGATCAGGAGGAGGAGGAAGAGGAGGAGGAGGAGGAGGAGGAGGAGGAGGAAATGGTGGAGATGTGGCGGCTGCCGAGAGAATAGCGGCCTCCCCCTCGACAGGCTGCGCCAATATGGCTTGAGCAGCCTGCACACCTCTTTGGACCTTAGCCCTGGGCCTCGGACCCCTCTTAAACTTGTGTTTGCTGGCGCGTGTGGTTGCCAACAGGGGCCACAAGGTAAGGGCCTTACCTGCGTACATCAAGAACACGGCCAACAGTCCGACTTCTCGTTCAAGATTGTCCACTTCCGCGTTGGCAGTGCATTTGGGCCTCCTGTTTGGCCCATCCGTCGGCATGGAAATCCCCGAGAGATCTAAAGTGCTCGTCCGTGCCGGCGCACGAAGATTCTACATCCTAGTGGCCTTTCAGTTTGCTGAAGTGGCAATCCGAAGTCCACGTTGGACCTCCAATAATCGGTTTGCTGAGGCATGCGCAGCGCGACGCACGTAAAGGCCATGAGACTAAGGGCCACATGAAATCAGCAACGGATTCGCGATCTTCGGATCCCTTCAGAGCAGCAGCGCACAAGGCGATCCATTCGGCTGCTGGGGATGTCTGCGGGAAGGCGGCCCCAACTGGGCCATAGAGAACCGCGTGGGGATCACCGTTATCTTGAAGGCGAACAACCGCCCATGAACCATGATGAAAATATTCGGCCCGTGACTTGAAGCACGATCCGTCTGTGAACAATCTGCCTCGGAGGGCCTGCTCCACAGCGACGTCTGGATCGGCACACCAACAAGTTGCAGTTTCCATCCAAGAGCCCTCCGGGGGCCACAATTCAAAATTGGGCGCCAATCGAAAACCAGCCAGGAAAGGGTGGCAAATCCTGACATACCGATCGATCTCCTCCCTTCGATCGGGTGTGAACATATAATCCAGGAGCGACTGAGACAGTGGACGCTCACACAACCTGTGCACCATGTCATCACTGCGATGCCCGCATGGGCAGAAAAGACTGAGTGAAAACATACCCGGCCTGAGCAAACAGCTTGGCATTCGTCCACAGCCCCTGGATCAGATATCCCAGGAGACATCCTTTCTCCCTGCACCTCAAAACGGCGGAGGAGGAGGAGGAGGCGGAAGAAAAGGAGGCGAAAGAGGAAGAGGCGAACAACTGAGAGGGACGAGGAAGGGGGTAGTGGAGGAACGGCGGCATGGAGAAAAGAAGAGGAGGGGACTTAGGAGGAGGAGGAGGAGGAGGAGGAGGAGGAGCGAGGGCGCATAAGCACCACGCCGAACGAGTACGCCTCCGTCTGTTCGTTTACGTGCCCCGTCCGAATGTAGACAGGGCAGGCGTAGCCAGGGGTGCCGCTGATGTTCTCCACCTGCCCTAATGTGTCCATCTCCTCCTCCTCTTCCTCCTCTTCGTCCTCTTCCGACTCTTCCTCCTCCGCCTCCTCCTCCTCCTCCTTTGTCACTTTCATCTTCATCTTCATCACCATCGCCATCGTCATCATCCTCATCCTCCCCGCCCTTTCTCCTTCCCTCCTTCCTTCCTTATTTCCTTCCTTCCTTCTTCCGCTTGATTTGGCGGGACCCGCGCTGTCAGCGCCGCGCGCCTAGCCAGAGCCAGGCCGCGCGGCGCAGCCACCTACTCGCAGGCGGGCCCTCTAACGCCCGGCCTGCGTACGAGGGTTTTCCGGCTGACGCCCGACGCTGACGCGAGGGGCGCCCGCCCTTTGACCCACGGAGAGGGGTCCACCCAGCGACCCCCGCAGCATAGGAATTGGTGGAGTGCCGCGCGGGCGGGGACCCCCCCGGATCCCCGCAGTGCGCTGGGCCGCTGGGTGCTGCTCGGGGGCATTTTTGTCCACGCTTGTTTTTCCCCCCTCGGCGGCCCCCCCCAGCCTGGTGGAGTGCTGCGCGGGAATAACCCTCAGCAGCCTCGCTGGGGGCGGGTTGCTGCGCGGCGGGCAGAAGATCGGAGAAGGGGCAATGAGACAACCGTTGAGGGCCCTCGGGGGCCCCAAGTCGACACGCTTGGACGCAGCTCGGAGGATCAGTGCGTTAATGCCTAAGGGCCAACTTAGAGCTGCCAAAGTCTCAACTCGCCCTGCCGCGCGATATTGACAGGCCCGCCGGTGCTGGCTAGTTGGCTGGCTGGCTGCATGAACGCGGCCTGCCTCCAGCCCCCTGCCAGCCTGGTGTCCAAGCGCACCCTGCCGAGCTGCCACACTGTGTGCGGGGCGCTGAAGGCACCGGCACCAGCGACAAAACGCGAGTGAGGAGGCGGAACAGGGGGCGACGGACGCCTGGCCGCGCGCCCGAAGTTGGCGCGGTCTCGAAGACCCTGCGGGGGAGGGAGCTCTATGCGGAGGAGCAGCGCAAGAGGAACACGATCAAGACCAAGCCCGCAGAAGAAGATTGAGCGGCCAAGGGCGAAACCTTCCGCGTCAAGAGAAAAGGGGGGGACGCGAGAGGGGAGTGGAGCAGGATGAAGGAGGGGGGGGGGCGGCGCGGCGGCCCCCCCCCCCCCCCCCTGGATCGCCGTCCGGGTCTGCGCTGGCGGGCACTGGGGTGCGGGGGGTGCAGCGCGAAGAAGGTGCCTCACGCTGGCTCCCACCCCAGCGCGCGCCAGCGGGCCGGCCAGGGCCAACCCAACTGGACCAGCGCCGTGGGGCGGGCACGCGGCCCAGCCCTCCCGCCCGTCCCGATGCCTGGGCCGCACTTGCCCCTTGGCGCCCACTTTGGGCCGCAGGGTGCGGAGCGACGACGGCACTTGGGCTGGCCGC